AAAATGTGGGACCTGTTGCTTTTTTTTACTTCCTTGAGAACATTTAGCCCACCCAGCATGTGTTTACAGGCTTGAGGAGTTGATGTTGAGGGCTTTGAGCTAATTTACTGGTTCTCAACTAACTGAATGAAACTGCTAAAAGCACAGATTAGCAATTGCTTCGTCATTTAGTCCAAAAATGTCAAGTGATTTTGTGTGGACAGAGAGTGGGAGATGAAAATGCCTTTCCTTTCCCATAAAGAGATGTAGATGATGATTTATTGAGAGGTACTACCCTCCATAGGGATACTGGGAGAATTAAATGAGAAAATGTAGATAAAACGCTTACCATACTAACCGGCACACAGCATGCAACAAGTGTTAGGTACGTAGTAATAAAAGTTACTATGATGACTGATGACAAAATTTCTACCACTCGTTGCTTTACGCATTTCACCTACATTCTCTTATTTGGTCTTCACAGCAACCATGATGGTAGGGTTTTCCCTTGGCATCTAGAGAAGAAAACTGAAGCACTTAGAGGTAAAATAACCTGCCCAGGGAACTACTATTATTTCCATTTTCATGATGGAGAAACCAAGATTTAGAGAGGAATAGGTGTAGTTACTATTATCGCTCTGCCCTGTGCTACATAATTTGCATTATCTCATTATGACACCAGCATCTTCCCAGGGCCACAGTTGTGTCTGAGCCAGCCTCTGTGGGGGCAGCTCCACCTGTAGGACTCCTGCCCCAAGCAGTCCACGTCATTTAGGACAATCAGCCCTGATCCTGGTCAAATCCCAGCCAAGCTGCCTGCAGACCATGATGGCATCATTGATGTCCCAGCTGTCGTCACACACAGTGCCCCAGGGGCCTTGGTATAGGACCTCCACCTGGCTCCGATACCAGCCCTTACTCTGCCCACCTCCAGTCACCAACCTCAGGACCAAATCTAGAGGGAGGCACAGACATCTCGCTGATCTGTCCTTTCTAAGGGACAATGTCCCAGGCTTGTGTGAGGTCCAGAGCCCCACACAGTAACCATGGACCCCAAAAAGACATGACAATGAAACAGATTCCTCAGTGTGTTTTAGTGTCTCATCTTAATCAGCTCAACTTTCCTGACTCTTCCGTAGAGTTTGGCCAACATTGTGTCTTGAGGAGGCCTCCGTGGCGATGTCAGTTTCAGGTCCCACTCTGACCTGACCTCCCAAGTCGGGCACCAGTTATGAAGAGCCCGTCCTGCCCTTGACAGCTCCCTTCCCTCACCAGCGCACGCACGTGCCCAGCGTGAGCCCAGCACCGTGATGAAATTACCACAGGCAGGCTCCTTTCAGAAAGTGGGGCAGTATTCCAGGTGGCAAGAGCAGAGCTAGACTTGCTTCCAGAGCCCTGCAACCCTGCGCTTTGAACTTCCACCTTGAGACGTCTCTTCTCCTCCCTGGCACACACTCAAAGGTGCCAATTTCCAAAGCTTAATCATGGCAGGTGATTTTGAGTATTTTCTAACATGGTAACCTCGAATCACATTCAGGAGCTTGACATGTGTCATCTTAGTTAATCCCCAGCACAACCCTGTGGAGAAACTGAGGCTGAGGAGTTATCCAAGATTTAACTGACTAGTAAGGGGCAGGGCTTGTACTCAGAGAGTTGCTCTTAACCATTTCACTATTCTATGTCCTGGTATATATATTTTTAACATTTGAACTATTCGATTCAACTCATGGTCTGTGCTTTTGCACAAACACGTGCTCACATACACACACAAGACTATGGTAAGATGAAGAAATATTAAGCAGAAGTAGTTACCATTTGAAGCATTAACCGAGGCAATGTTTTCAAGACCTATTGTAAATTGTAGAAAAGAAGAGAAAAAATACAGGATTACATCCAGAGGTCCTTAGTTAGATGCCGCTGTGCCCATGTGCTTCTGCTGCCCTGGTGACTGGGTGTAACCCCCACTGGACACTCAGTGGGACAGCCTGGGGGTAGAGATCTTAGGTAAGAGGTGCTGACCAGCAGAGACGGTGTGGAGGGTCCCAGCCCGTCAGCTGAAAGGAGGAAGGGTCTGAAGGTCCCAGCCCAGGTGAGCCCCATCAAAGGAGGTCCTTCCTGTCCCACATCTAAACCCAGCCCAACTCTCTGCAGCAGTCCCTCCTGATTCCTTGAAGGTGGCTAAGGGCGCCACAACCACCCAGCCCTGAAGCTTAGATAGAATTACCTGTTGGCATCTGTGTCTCTCTCAAAGTGGCTTCATTGGTGTTTCTCGTTGTTGCTGCTGCTGGAGGTGAAACTACAAAGAAAAAAGGCCAGATGAGAGGTCCTCTGAAGACAAGAGTTAAGTGTGACACTCTTGTTCATTCAAGGGGAGTGGGCCACATCACACTTCACTTTGGGGGGTTAGCTGGGTTTGTCACTTACTTAATTCACTCAGTGAATATGGAATAATCTCCGAACTAGAGGCATTAAAAGTCAGGGAGACAGGAGGGAATTTACCATAGAAGCTAAGGCTCAGTCCTCTAGAGCTCACAGGCTACTTGGGCAGACAGACTTGGTAACCCATGATCTGGGCACGGAGCAGAGGGGGTGTGGGAACCACAGAGGGAGCCATTCATGGGCTTGGGAGAAGGGCAGGAGGAGTCCAGACAGAAGTGGATGTTTCAGCTGGCTTGGAAGGAGGCGTGGACAGGGGTCAAGGGAAATGGGGTGAAAGCAGGGTTGCCAGGTAAAATACAGGACGCTCAGTTAAACTTGACTTTTGTAACATAAGTATGCCCCAAGATGTTGCGTGGGACACACTTTTACTAAAAAATTATTTGGCTCACAGGCTACTTGGGCAGACAGACTTGGTAACCCATGATCTGGGCACGGAGCAGAGGGGTTGTGGGAACCACAGAGGGAGCCATTCATGGGCTTGGGAGAAGGGCAGGAGGAGTCCAGAGAGAAGTGGATGTTTCAGCTGGCTTGGAAGGAGGCGTGGACAGGGGTCAAGGGAAATGGGGTGAAAGCAGGGTTGCCAGGTAAAATACAGGATGCTCAGTTAAATTTGACTTTTGTAATATAAGCACGCCCCAAGATGTTGCGTGGGACACACTTTTACTAAAAAATTATTTTTTAATCCGAAATTCAAATTTCACTGGGTATCCTGTATTTTTATTTTACAAATCTGGCAACTCTGGATGAAAGGCATCCAAGAGGTGCCAGCAGACAGGAAGCTCTCTTTACCGTCCTTCATTTAAACCCTACCTAGATAAACTGAGGCCCCCCACCCTCCGTAAACCCGCTGAACACCAGGGCTGGTGGGCCAATTTCTAGCACAGCTGGTAACTTCTGCTCCACCGACTACATTGTGTGATCATCTAGAGTCAGATGTGGGCCCCAAACCTCTCGTGCCAGATGTACTTAGCATTAAATTAAATGTTAAACCAATCGATGAAATATGAGCATAGAAGGAAAGATGTCTTTCTGTAAGATAAGGTGGAAAGTTTTGGCAAGACTGAGTAAATTAACTTGCTAAAAAGAAATCAGGTGGGTGAGACAACCACAAAAAGTAGCAGAAGGATTTGTAAAGCAATAGGAAAAGCTCTGCACCCATATTGCTTTACAAATGTCTTTAATTTTGTGCTCCTCTATAGAGAAACTAAAATTGGAAATTATACATGATGCTTAATGGGTGTGACTTAACAAGAAAGACACTGCAGAACTACAGAAGACACCTATTGAGAGAAAAGCCTGCATCCACAAATTGGTAAATCAAAGTGGATTTATTCTATGTTTCAAATTAAAAAGAAACATTTAAAGTGTGTATCCTATTTCATGATTCCCCATTTTAAACAACTTTTTTGAGTAACCACTCAACCACCCCTCCCAGTCACATTAGGAAAGAGTTATAGAGCAGTGGTTCTCAAAGTGGGTTCCACAGATCAGCTGCATTAGTTAGCACTTGGGATTTCTTAAAAATGCAAATTCTTAGGTCTCACCCAGACTTTCAAATCAGGAATTCTGAAGGTGGTACCCAACGATATGTGTTTTAACAAGCACTGCAGGTGATTCTGATGCACACGAAAGCTTGAAAGCCCCTGTTCTGTAGCATATGCAAAGGAACTGTAGGAGCGATTCATTAGAGTCGTAAGAAACAACTCAATCAATAACCACTTATTGAGCACCTACTGGATGCTGAGCCCCAGCAGGCAGAGGGATATTATGGGATACCTCCACTGCCCTCTGGAAATTTGCTCTAGAGGGTGAGACACACAAGTAAGAATTGGAGCACAGCAGGCTAAGAGCTTCAGTTAGGGATGTCCAGGAGTCCAGCAGAAGGTCACACGTGATTGACCCTGAGGCAATTACTGAGCGACACCAGGAAGGACAAGCAGAGGAGATGTGGGTTAAAATGGGCACTGAGGAAGCAGAGACACCAGAATAAATTGCTCCTTCAAAATAACCTAAGAAGGGCCGAGCCCGTGGCGCACTCGGGAGAGTGCGGCGCTGGGAGCCCACCACGGGTTCGGATCCTATATAGGGATGACCGGTGCACTCACTGGCTGAGCGCGGTGCGGCCAGTCTCAAAAAGGACAAAAATAAATAAATAACCTAAGAATCAAAGTACAAACCCTATGCAAAGCTTCTGGACTGTCTCCTGGCAGACAGAGATGAAACAGGTTTCTGGATGAGTATAAAAATGATCCTTTTAATATAATTCCTATCTAAACGTTTCTCTTTGATTGGTTCTTTAAAAAATGATTCTAAAGTTAATCAGGAAAAATAAATAGGCTAAAAATAACTGAAAAATTCTTGAAAAATAAATATTGAGGAGGCAGAGGCATGGGATGGTGAGAGTGGCTGGGACCCTTGCATTCCCTATGGACTTAGCTCAAAAATGTTAAATGTAAATGTATAAAAATTAAAATATAGGAAAAAAACTAATTTAGATATTTACTCCATGTCAGAAAGCAAAATAATTGCCAGAACTAAAGAACTAAATATTTTTAAAAACACACAAAAATAAGAAACTAATTGCATGTTTATCTGATGTCTATTAGAAATATCTAGACTTAAAATCAATAGAAGAAATCATAAAGAATAACAGCAATTAATTTATAAAAATTAATTTATATTATATTTATAAAAATATAAAATGTGTGTGAAGAAAAAATCTAACTCCAAATTAAAAGGCAAACAACACCCTGGGAAAATATTTGTCATCAATATAATAACAAAGTATAAAATATACAAAATATAAAGAGAGTTTGTATAATGAATAATGAAGACACTAACTTTCAAAAAATGTTGAACAAAGGACAGACAACTCAAAGAAAATGAATACATATGGCTTAATAAGTTTTACATCCAGTATAAGCAAAGAAATGAAAATTAAAATAACAGTGTGTCATTTTCATCCAGCAATTCAGCCAAGATTTCATTTTTGAATAATAATATTTAGAGCTGGTGAAGGGGTAGAAAATTTCTGTTCTTGTTTTTAATTAGCAGGAATAAGAATTGGTATGTTTCTGGAAAATAACTTATTAATATGCTTTATAAGCCTCAAAAATGATCAATCCTTTGACTCAGTAATTCCATTTCTAAGAATCCAGTCAAAGGAAATAATAATTTCTATAACATGGACAAAGATTCGTTGGCAAAGATGATCTTCACAGTATTATGCATTATAGAAAAGAACCTGAAACAACCTCCCTGTCCAAAAATTGTGAATGGCAAGTTAAAATGTTTGGAATATAATAACAAATTATAGAAAAACTGCGTATTAAATGATATCACTTACATGCACATAATTTTAAAGGAATACACCATATTTTAACACGGCCCTCTCAGGTGATAGGATTGTGGGTGTTTTTCCATTTTTTCTACATTCTTCTCTAGTTCCTGCATTTTCTGTACTAACCGTGTATTGCACGTATCATTTGAATCTGAACGGGGGAGATGGGATGGTAGATTATATGGCAAGCAGATTCTTTTAGGTTGGGAGGGAATTTTGGTTGTCGGCTACAGGGAAACAACAAGGTTGAAAGAGAAATTGAGGGAGAATACTGTCGCCACAGGAGGAGACGAAGCAGAGGGGGACAGCAAAGTGAAAGATGAGGAAAAGAAACTCACACTTTCTAGCAAATGCCATATGCCAGGCATCGAGCTAAGTGCTTGACATGTAGTATCTCACTTTATCTTCTCACAACCCTCTGGAAGAATTATCATGCACACCTGTTTTATAGAGCAGAAATCCAAGGCTTCAGGAGCTGGAGTAACTTGTCAAAGGTTACACAGCTGGGAAGGAGTGAGACTAGGATCTGAAGTCATGCAGGGCGACCCCCAGAGCAAGTATGTTATATGACTCTGCTGTGCTGCCTCCCAAAATTCAAGTTTAGACAATGAGATTTCATTTTAACCTGTCAGTAAAGCAAAACATTCTAAAATAATAATACGCAGTAATGGTGAGCATGTGGTTAATATTGTTCCTGGTACAGTGTTTAGTTTCCCATAAAATATGTATGAGAAAACAGAAACACTGCTCAGGAGCCAGCAGCAGGCTGTGAAGTTGGGGTGGCTCACGGCCACACCCTCTGTCCCATCATGTCAGAGCCTGGCACCCGGAGCACCCAGGCTGCTCCACTATAGCCAGCGTGAGCCAGGCCCTCTGCTAGGTTCTTGGAGGTGCAAAGTGCCAAGCTCGGTACTGAGTAAGCAAGGCATGGTCCTTGCCCTCCAGGGCCTTCCAGCACAGCAGGATCCCTAGAAGTACCCACAGTTTAGTACAAGAAGTAAGTGCTAGCCAAGATGCCATGGGGGGGACGTGTGATAACTGTAGGATGACAGGCTGCGTGCATGTGTGTGTTTGTGTGTGAGTGTGTGTGTGCGGTACAAGAAGTAAGTGCTAGCCAAGATGCCATGGGGGGGACGTGTGATAACTGTAGGATGACGGGCTGCGTGCATGTGTGTGTTTGTGTGTGAGTGTGTGTGTTCACCTGTGTATCCATGCATGTACCTGTGTCTGTGTGTGCCTGCATGTATGTATGAGTGTGTCTCTGTGTCTGTTTGTGTGTGAGAGATGTATATTTGTATGTGAGTGTGTGTATATGTATGAGTGTGTCTGTGTGTGTGTCTGTGTGTAGGAGTGTGTGTATGCATGATGGTGTCTCTGTGCGTGAGTGTGGATAAGCATGTGTGAGCAAGTGTGTGTGTGTATTTATGAGTGTGTCTCTGTGTGTGTTTGTCCTTGGTGTGCCTGTGTATGCATCTGCCTGTGTGTGTGAGTTATGTGTACAAGTAAGAGTGTGTGTGTGTGTCTGTGTGTGTGTTAAGCATGTATGTCAGGGACAGATTCTGCACGGGACAATTCTGTAGCTCTCAAAAGAGCAGCTAGATTTAGGCAGGTGGAGGCTGGGGAGAGGGGGCAGGAGTCGGACCTGGTTTGGGCGGTGGGAACAGCATGAGCACAGTGACCCTGGCTAGAGGCAGCGCTAGTGGAGTGCAGGGGTGGGAAGGGCAGGTTGCCTTCTCTTCCAAGAGACTCAGGCTGCAGAAGACGGCGGGCGAGGTCATGGTCCCCAGCGCCGGGTTACAGCACTTGGACTCTGCCCAATGCTGTGTTATTGCAAAGGCGCTAAATAAAGAGCTAAAGAGAGGAGAGCTGTGCGGAGGAGCGATTAGATATCTGTGTGGCCCTTTATTTAAGTGACTCGGAAGAGCCACCTCGGATCTGAATGTCGCCCACGTTAAAATACTCACAACAATTCAGGAAAGTCCCTCCATGACATGCTCTCCTTTTTAAGGCATTAGCCAGGGCAGAACCCCAGTTAAACGACAGAAAGGGTAAGTATGAGGATTAGCAATCTGCCAGGATTTAATTTGTAAGTAATTATTACTTTCTCATTTTGCAAAACAATGGCCTCGAAGTAATGAGACCAAGGGAAATTAAGTTTAAAAAAAAAAGTGTTGGAATAATTTTAGATTTACCAAAAAGTAGCAAAGATACTGTATAGAGTTTCCATATATCCCTTCCCCAATTTCCCCTAATATTCTCTTGCATTTTCGTGGTACATTCGTCACAACTCACAACCAACATTAGTCCATTCCTGCTAACTAGGCTCCTACACTCCAAGCTTTATTTAGATTTCACTAGTTTTTCCTTTTCTGTTCCAGGATCCGATCCAGGATACCACACTGCATTTAGGAAGTTGCGTTTGGATCAAACATTAGGAAAATGCCTAGAATAGTAACACTGAATGGTTCTGAGGTTCCCTCCATGCGCCAGCCAGTGCACGGTGACCTCATTCCTACACAACTCTGTGAGGTTGGAACATAATCCCCATTTACAGATGAGTAAACTGAGGCTTGCAGAGGCTCCACGATTGGTAAGTGATAGAGCCAAGGACATCGCTGGGACCAGCAGTGGATACCACAGCCCCTCCTGCCCAACACAAACTTGGGCAAACTGGCTTTCTCAAGAGTTTGTGCAAAGACTGGAGCTGAGGACAGCGCCTGCTGCCGTGGTCCTCTTGGCACGAAGCTCCGCTGCGGGCTCCGGCACTGAGCTAAATGCTGTGGTCCATCTCCTCAGCTCTCTGCAAGGGGCAGCGAGGGCTAACGGGCCCAAACTGCTGCCCAGATGCCAGCGGACCTGGCTCCAGGTTCAAATCCTGACCCACCGCTCACCAGCTGCTATCTTTGGACAAGCCACATAACCTTTCCCAGCCTTGGTCTCTCCACCTGAAATGTGGAGATAATGGTACCTAACCTCGGGGCCCTTAGCAGATCTCATAAGAGAATACAGGGAGGTTCGCTCTGTGGAGGGTGAATTCCTGCCTCTGAACTGTGAATACAGACATGCATAGCGTGGACTGCCCGTCTGTGCACATGCACGTGGCATCACGGTAAAACTACAGACTCCCTCAGCGGTGAGTAGCAAGACTACCGCTGCCTTTTGTCCCTTCATAGATAAGGACAGGGCAATTTGCTCCTTGGCCTTTAGGGGCTGACGTGAGTCCTGTATCACTGTTCAGAGCCACTGCAAGTCTGGAGGGTTAACTTTATACTGATGAAAGCTGGAGCTGAGGACTCTGCCTCCCATTTTCAAATACTTTTCATGGAGACAGGATCTCGAGCCGCAGATCCCCCTGGGGTCTCCTGACACCCTCGGTCAGCTGCCTGCTGGCCTCACCACACCGTGCACACCCACCACACGGTGCGGGCAGTGAGGGCGTGGGGTTGGGGTGCTGCTTTCATGAAAGCAATCTCCAAAATGAAACTTTCTCCTCAGAGCTTTCCCCACCGAGCCTGGGGAAGATGGGGGTGGGGGGGAGATGGAGAATTCTGGAAGTTTCTGGAAATTAGGTGATTTTCCCCCATGTTGTGAAATTCATGAAACCAGCAAAAAGCGACACCAAAGAAAAAGGGGGGGGCTGGTGCAAAGAAGGAAAAAAAGGAAAGCAAAGAAGGAAGAAAGAAATGAAGGAAGGAAGGGAAAGAAAGAAGGAGGGGAGGGAAGGAAGCAAGAAAGAAGAGAGGAAAAGAGAGAGAGGGAGGGAGGGAAGGAGATAATAGGTGCCAGACAGAGGAGAGACAGACAGAGAGACAGAGGCAGGTACAGAGAAAACGATAGTAAGAGAGAGAAAAAGAAAGAGAGACACACAGACAGATGACAGAGAGAGGCACACAGAGAAAGAGAGAGGCAAGACAGACAGAGACAGACAGACAGAGCAGGCAGACTGGCCAACTGTCCTGATCACTTAGCATCTTGATAAAATGACACTGAGACTCAACAATCACAATGATTTGCCAATAGCCCTTTCATGTTCATCATTTGACGCTCTAAGAACACAAAGCCATACTTGAGTGACTGAGTTTCAAGTCACCTGTCTAAAGCAGTGAGTGGCAAACGCACTTGGTCATCTTGTCTGAGCTCAGTGACTTGACCTGATTTTGCTCGGCAAGTAGAAGTTACCAAGCCTAACACACCTGCAGAAAGAAATAGCACCCTGAGCATTGACGGGGGAATCTTTTCTGCCCATTTTCGTGGTACACAAACCGTGTGTTTAACCAATTATAATAAAGTTTCGGGGCCTCTTAGTAATACACATACACCTTTCCTGAACTTCAGGGATTTTTCTAAGACCAATCGTTTCCTTAGATGAATGACTTTCTGAAAACATTGGCATAATGATTAACTTGTTGTAACTACAATCATTTGTATTTCTCAGCCAGAAACAAAACAAAAAAGAACTGTTTCTTCCAAATACTTGCAAACACAATTATCAGCAAAGAACTGCCTCCTCCTTGATACAAAACTCCCCTTGAGATGGAAAGTCTAGCACCAAGGAACAAGTAGATATAATGTGCCGTGATTGATTTGGGTTTGCAGAAGTTAAATTAATGAATATAAAAATTAGACATAATACCTGTAGATAGAACTTGACTCCATAAAAGACACATTCCAAGGATGGCTGTGCAGATCCCCATTTTGTTGGGTTCTTCTCTATTTGAATAATAATTCCTTGACATTTATAGGTTCCTGGCTGAAAGGAGGTGTGTCCAACAAGATAGTATATTTCTGTTGCTGCCATAAATCAGTATAAAGGAAGTGAGGGACTTTGCTAACAGTCGGTGGCTGATCTGTGGGAACGACTTAGGTGTGTTTGATTGATTGCCATATGAGCGATCTGGCATTAGTGGTACGATTTCCAACTTCCTTCTAGTGAATCTCGAAGACTCCAAGTGCTTCCTGAATATGGGCTTGATATTAATTTTTGAGAGTTTAAATTAACCTGTGAAAAGTCTGCGCCAAGGTCTGGGCAGAGCAGGATGTGGGCTGCTGGGCAAATATGGGACTGTGCCAAGGGGAAAAGCATCTCTTTGGGTTGATTTGTCCTGGCAGGGCGCTCTCTCGTTGGCCCCTGTGTGTGTAACTGCGCCTTAGAGGAACAAGTATAACATCAGTGCTGCTGCTGGAGAGTAGAAGGCGTGAGGGATGATTCCACGAAGACCATGGCTCATACTAGCTTTGGGCCACCGTTTTCTGGGTCTCACACCATCCCATTAACACGGGAGCTGAGAAACGTGTGACTCAAGCTGAACTGTCTCCAACCATCTCAAGGGGCTTTGATTTCTGGCCCTTGGCATTCACGTTGTACGACGCTTAGAGCTTGATAACCCCACAAAACCTGCCCCAAACCTCCACCTACCTCGCACGTAATTCCTCTCCCTGGGTTTACGTAGGGAGGACTTCGCTGTCCAGGATGCCCCAGCCTTCATCACCAGACTCTGATAAACCCTCCCACACTCTACCAAGAAGGTTGCCTGACATTTATTTTTATCAAGACTCTTGGTTAGAAGCAGACAGCTTTGCAGGACTTGCCTCTGTCACCCTGGCCTGGATGAGCNACAATGATTTGCCAATAGCCCTTTCATGTTCATCATTTGACGCTCTAAGAACACAAAGCCACACTTGAGTGACTGAGTTTCAAGTCACCTGTCTAAAGCAGTGAGTGGCAAACGCACTTGATCATCTTGTCTGAGCTCAGTGACTTGACCTGATTTTGCTCGGCAAATACAAGTTACCAAGCCTAACACACCTGCAGAAAGAAATAGCATCCTGAGCATTGACGGGGGAATCTTTTCTGCCCATTTTCGTGGTACACAAACTGTGTGTTTAACCAATTATAATAAAGTTTCGGGGCCTCTTAGTAATACACATACACCTTTCCTGAACTTCAGGGATTTTTCTAAGACCAATCGTTTCCTTAGATGAATGACTTTCTGAAAACATTGGCATAATGATTAACTTGTTGTAACTACAATCATTTGTATTTCTCAGCCAGAAACAAAACAAAAAAGAACTGTTTCTTCCAAATACTTGCAAACACAATTATCAGCAAAGAACTGCCTCCTCCTTGATACAAAACTCCCCTTGAGATGGAAAGTCTAGCACCAAGGAACAAGTAGATATAATGTGCCGTGATTGATTTGGGTTTGCAGAAGTTAAATTAATGAATATAAAAATTAGACATAATACCTGTAGATAGAACTTGACTCCATAAAAGACACATTCCAAGGATGGCTGTGCAGATCCCCATTTTGTTGGGTTCTTCTCTATCTGAATAATAATTCCTTGACATTTATAGGTTCCTGGCTGAAAGGAGGTGTGTCCAACAAGATAGTATATTTCTGTTGCTGCCATAAATCAGTATAAAGGAAGTGAGGGACTTTGCTAACAGTCGGTGGCTGATCTGTGGGAACGACTTAGGTGTGTTTGATTGATTGCCATATGAGCGATCTGGCATTAGTGGTACGATTTCCAACTTCCTTCTAGTGAATCTCGAAGACTCCAAGTGCTTCCTGAATATGGGCTTGATATTAATTTTTGAGAGTTTAAATTAACCTGTGAAAAGTCTGCGCCAAGGTCTGGGCAGAGCAGGATGTGGGCTGCTGGGCAAATATGGGACTGTGCCAAGGGGAAAAGCATCTCTTTGGGTTGATTTGTCCTGGCAGGGCGCTCTCTCGTTGGCCCCTGTGTGTGTAACTGCGCCTTAGAGGAACAAGTATAACATCAGTGCTGCTGCTGGAGAGTAGAAGGCGTGAGGGATGATTCCACGAAGACCATGGCTCATACTAGCTTTGGGCCACCGTTTTCTGGGTCTCACACCATCCCATTAACACGGGAGCTGAGAAACGTGTGACTCAAGCTGAACTGTCTCCAACCATCTCAAGGGGCTTTGATTTCTGGCCCTTGGCATTCACGTTGTATGACGCTTAGAGCTTGATAACCCCACAAAACCTGCCCCAAACCTCCACCTACCTCGCACGTAATTCCTCTCCCTGGGTTTACGTAGGGAGGACTTCACTGTTCAGGATGCCCCAGCCTTCATCGCCAGACTCTGATAAACCCTCCCACACTCTACCAAGAAGGTTGCCTGACATTTAATTTTATCAAGACACTCTCGGTGGTCGGTACCCCAAACCTCCACCTACCTCGCACGTAATTCCTCTCCCTGGGTTTACGTAGGGAGGACTTCGCTGTCCAGGATGCCCCAGCCTTCATCACCAGACTCTGATAAACCCTCCCACACTCTACCAAGAAGGTTGCCTGACATTTATTTTTATCAAGACTCTTGGTTAGAAGCAGACAGCTTTGCAGGACTTGCCTCTGTCACCCTGGCCTGGATGAGCAGTGTCCTGCCTCTCACAGAGACACCGAGGCATCAGATGGCACCTTGGCTTCCTCGCCACACACTGTTAATCTGTGGTCTCCGTGCTTTGTTCCAGAAGGATATCATGAACCTGTGCCCTGTGTCAGCCACCAATCAGGATTTAGGGCTGAATGTCTGCATGTTCATCCAGATGAAAGTTGCATTCAAGCTTTGGTTTCTTTTTTAATCCTATAATTCCTCCTCTTCTCCCCTTAAGGGGAACAGGCATGTTTCCACAGGACAGGCTCACTGTGTCTCATCCTCCTCCTGCCAGTCCGATGCCTGAGGAGTAGCAAGAGATGAGAGAGCAGGGCCACACGTCTAGGGAATGCCAAAGACCAGACACACGTGGTCTTCCCCTTATAAGGGGACAGTGATCGTTGGTTCCTGGACTGCTGGCCTGAGAATGATTACAGAGCTGGGTATGGGGTCATCAAAAATGAGTGTCATGATAGATTGACAGTGTCTGCCTTGAGCACAGCAGGGGAAAGTGGTAGTAGGGATACCGAACATCTGCAAGGGACAAGGGACAAGAGGTGTCCTTCCCATGCAGGAGCACATGGCCTGGTCTTAGAGATAATCCCAATAGAGGGTAGTAAGCGTTCATACAAGCTGCTACGGAAACAGACGGAAAAAGCTTCTAAGTCACAGGGCAGAGGCAGTTTCTCGGAGAAGGTGGCACTTAAACCAAGTCTTGTAACACGAGCAGGAGTCAGCCCGGCACATGAGACTGAGAAGACGCAATGAGGAGCCAGGGGAGTGAGTGACTTTCCGGGACTTCGTAGGAACAGGGGCTGGGGGCTCCCCGCCAGGACACCGCAGAGTCTCGTCAGGAGCTCAGCTCACCGGGGACCTCCCCCTCGAGAACGCCGGGATTTCCTGAACTGCACAACTTGCCCATTTTCTGTATTGGTGACCCTGTCCTTTCCCCGCAGTGGTTAGCGGGAAAGACCCTAAGCCAAGAGGGCTTGTGAGCTTTTTGTTCAATAGACACCAGGAAGAAGGAAGGGGAGGAAGCCTGGCTGTCATTTCAAAGCCAGTTCAGGTAGGTGTCCCCAGTGGGGAAGGGGTGATGTCAGTGGAACAGGAAGGATGTGGCAGCGGTGACGTGCAGGCAGAACACAATGCGGCAGCGGGCTACCTGCCACCACCGCGCGGGCCCTCACAGCCCCATCTCGTCTCAAGGCCCTTGTGTAGCTCATAAGACCCTGTTCAGGGAGGTCTTCTCGTGTATGGACAGGAGGGTTCTGGAGGACGCGCCCCTCCAGCAGCTGCTCGCTCTCGGGGACCACCGTTCCCCCTGCCCACTGGTGAGGAGCATCTGCTTAGACAGCACATCTGGGTGGAAGGCCACAGTCCCAAAGTTCCACTTACTAACATGAAAACTGCCATGAACAACAACAGGAAGAAAGAGGAGCCCATTAAAGCTCGGAGACTTGGCACCCAGGCCCCATTTGTAACCGTGTGCCCGGGGACACTCGCAGCCAACTCCAGGGGCCAGGACTGAGCGCTTGCGTCTCCGCCCCGAGGCATGGCCTTCCAGGGGAAGAGCCCCTAGGCGGGCCCTGCCAGCTCCACAGCTCTTCCTCCTGCCTCCTCCAGGACCCGCCGCCATAAACCCTTCTCCACAGGGCAGCCTGTGGGCAGAGTTGAGAACCCCCGATGGAGGCCAAACCCGCCTTTCATAAGACAGGGAACTGAGAGGCCCTGCGAGGCTCCCGGGCTGTCGGTGTCAGGGTGCACCTCTGTCCTGAAGCTGAGCTGGGGTCCCAGGCTGACTCCCCGGAGCAGGCAATCACCCTCCTCTTTCTAGAGATTGTTCCTATCAGCAGAGAAGTGTCCTGGGAGGCTGCAGGAAGACGGAGAGCCCAGGGGGCCACTTGACACCCCTCCCACTTCCAAGGGGTCTCTCAGTTCTGGGTCCAGGAGCCAGGTGCCAGGATAGACGGGGGCATTGAGTCAAGGGCGTGAGGAAGAGGACTGGGAGCCTCGGTGGCAAGGGCAGGGGAGGCTGCGTGCTTCCAGTCACTGAATCCCAGAAGTCTGTGTGACTGTGGCTCCTCTGAAGGTGTCAGGTTGACCCCAAAGTCTAATTTTATCCTCACTGAGTAGCACACTATTTGTTAGCCATTGTTTTCACTGTAACCATCTTTTGGCATTGTGTGTGTGTGTGTGTGTGTGTGTAATATCTGCAATGTCACTCATTTTTGCTCTCAGAGAGCCGGTCTTCCCAACCAGGTAATAAGGGACCCCCCATCCCACCCCATCCCTGCC